GCTTGTGACCAAATGGTCCATGGGCCGTAAACTCAAGATAAGAGTGTTTTGATGCCACAAACACTTCTTAAGGCATAAGCATGAATTTAGAATGCTTCCTTATGACCTTTAGGACCCTCATAAGCATAAATGGCCATGAGTTTATGGTAGTAAACTCATTTGGCCGTGAAATCCTCAAAAACTCCAAAGAAGGTGGTCTTTCTCATCCTAGGTTAAAGCTAATGTCCCTAAAACATTCCCTAGCTTTCAAACTTGGATTCCCACATGGGTAGCCATGAGTTTACGGCCGTAAACTCCCTTGGGCCATGAACTCATGGTAGTAAACTCATGAGTGTTCCTTATACCTTCCTATGTTGAATCACATGTAATTCCAGCACCTAGCCAAGGTGTTTCCTAGTCCCGAAAGGTGTTATCTTTCATATAGGTGTTTATAAACACTATATTCATGTCATTATGTCTCCTTAAATATCATTTAGGACTTAGTTTGTCTAGGAACTTCATTCGTGGAACTTCTCATCCGTACGCGCATACCCGTTTGAATCACCCATATCAGGTGAGTTCATACCCCGTAATGAATCTTTTAACTATTTTAACTTTTTAAGGGGGGGGGGGGGGATACAGGTTGAACACAATGATAATTGTGTAAATGGTTGTTATTAAACATCTTTCAAAATGCTAAATATGTTAATTAAGTCGTCAAAACATTTCAAAACTCGTTTAAAGTTATGTTACTTGATAGTTATACAGAACTCCGTTTTTAAAGTAAAAGCATAACTTATTAGAGAAATGAGTCCTTTCAGTAACAATCCAAGTAGAGCATTAGTAACTATTATAGGTATAGTTTAGGAGAATTCTATCCATTACTTCTAGTAAAATGAAGCACACAAAGAAACAATACTAGAACAGAACGAACAGTTAAGAGAATCAAACATTACAAGAACAGAACATAACAAATTAAGTTTCTATAGCATGAGAACACACAGACAGGATCTAATTATACCAATGAATCACTTCTACATTAGTGATAGTTATATTGGGTATACATGATCATATAACTTTAATGTGGATTACACGGCTTGCATGGATTTGCTTGGGTCACGTTGGGTTCCCTTAATCTCTTTTCATTGAGAGCGTTTAGTAGGGGTTCTAGCTTTCACATTATGACTATAATAAGACAAATATGGTTTTAGGTTATTATTACATCCGCATGTCATTATAAAAGATATATGTGTACTTACTTTTCCCATTACTTTCATAAAGTGACAATACCACTTGAAAGTTAATCTATTTTCTAGTCAAGATAGTTATAAACTAGGGAGAATGTACTTTACAGTTGACAAAGGACAATAGAGTCTTGGTAGAAGACTTCTTTCAAAACAGTAGGGTCTTGGTAGAAGACTGCTTTCAAAACAATCGAGTCTTGGTAGAAGGCTACTTTTAACAAGTTAGGACCATGATGCTAACCTTATGATTATGTAATGTATACACGATAGGATACATATATGCTAAGTAGATTCCGATAGCTAATAGGATGTGTGTTCTTCGTTGTACATCCTGTTCTCATTGGATGTGGGTTTACACCGAGGTCACCCAATCTATTATCTACCCGAATCTATATATACTTATGCTTAGTATACATTAAGTCATCATAAGGGTACCATGTATGGATCAGGTCATAGGACACAGGGTCAATGCACAATTTTTCAAGTACAAAAATTTTGTTTCAAAGTCAGTACTTTTGATATACAAAACTAGCGATTTCCTAGTTAAGGGCTTAATCAATTTTATTAAGTCTGTACAGTTTTAAAGACTTTAAGTGAGTTAACTCTATAATACCTTAGTTTATACACCATGTTTATATATAAAACTAGTATCCGGTAGCTAGTAGGATGTGTGCTCTTCATTGTACATCCTGTTCCCGTTGGATGTGGGCTTACACCAAGGTCACCCAATCTACTATCTACCCGATATCAAATTATATATAGCAGTATAAACAAAGCTATAATAAAAGTAATCACCATAGTCAATATTTTATTATAAGAAATATAGGTTTTCTTAAAAGGAACTCTGCATTAGATATAAAGGAACCATTACAAATAACTCCATGAGTAACAAGTGAATACACCAAGGTTATATATGACAACGATCTAACAACCAATGGGATGTGTGCTATTCGCCTTACTTACTGTACCCCGTTGGGTTGTGAGTTGAGGGCAGATGCGCACAATCAATTATTTGTTTACTCCAAGTATATATAACTTGTACCTAATTATTACGCATAGAAAGGCTTGTAGTGTTATTTTACTCAACTCCCATTTTAAGTAGGAAATATATGATTTTCTAGAGGAACAGGCAAACTTTACAAAACAACACCTTATAGCTTACAACACTTTACATATACATTTTCAACCACAGTTTTACAGCTTACTCATATCACTAAAATCTTATGAACTCACCAGCTTAATTGCTGATCAACTCTTTCAAATAACTTGTATTCTCAGTAGACTATTAGACAGGTGCTCATGCTGGGACTTCAGAAGATGGAGCATTATAGCTTCAAGTCATGTTTTGTTATTTGTTATGACTTCTATGTTTTGTGAACACATACATTGTAAACACTTTCTTTCTAAATGAAATGGTTGTTCATTACTTGCTTACCATATACATATCTCGTGATACTTGACATGACGTCCTCCACCCCCGAACGTTTCTACCGTTCCGGTTTTGGGGTGTGACACCTCCTTTCTGTCAACAAGTAGATTCTTTTACTTATGGGAGCATCTCTTCCTTTTTCTCCTTTGTTATTCAAGGGTAGTTTTGTCATTTGTCATAAATTTAAACTCCAATGTGTCATTTATGTGGCGTATACAGGTGCTCAAGACTGGTCAAATAGATTTTACTCAATTTAGAGTTGACCCGAGTAAATGTAAACACTTTACAACCTTTTGTTACAAGTTGTCATATTTTAAATTACTAAGAGATTTTACTAAACAACAGGTGGTAGCTTGGTGGGAAATTTTCAGGTGGCATCTATGGAAATTTTCAACTCCTTGGATGTCAAATATGACATTGTTGTTTTTGGAGGTTGGTTTTCCTTTTTTTTTTTTCTTTTTGGATAAACAGCAAGCATGTTAAGTCAGGAGCTTGTGAGGATCCGTCTACTTACCATAGATATAGATTTAGCCTCCAAACAGCTTATACAGGGCAAGTCTCTTATGGATATTTTATTTGCAAAAGGCTTAATAATCTTATAATGGATTACTCAAAATGTCAAATGATTAAGTCTTCCACTATGCATCCACTGCAATCAAGCATTATAGAAATGGGAAATCAAAAAAATATACAAAATCTTATTAGTTATTGGTGCAGGGGTATTTTAGGCATTTGCTTAAATTTTAGTGGCTGCAACAGAGTATTTAAGAGACTCTTCTACCTCACAGTTTGGTCTGTATAAATCCCAACAAGCAAAAAATCTCCAAGCCCACGAGCAAGTCTTAAAATCTGTGAATACAAAACAAAGCATACAAATTTAAACAAGGAAATATGCAATTATGACACTTAAGCTTCTTTGTTAATTCATTAAAGATATTTCATTAATATTTTTGATGGAGTTTTTTTGTTTATTATATATAGACATGCACACTATCAAATAGGAAATACACCACTAGCACTTGTCTGGAAGGATGAGACTTATAGTGAGTATGTCATTGATACAGATAACAAAGGACAGATTCCAAATCAACAGCAGGTAGTTACAATTTCTTACCCATTATAACACCATGCTTCATTTCAATATGTTGCTATTTTTCATAATTTACCCTTCATTGTTTTTTGTTAATGTTTATAAATGAGAAGGCGGTTTAGGAGATATAAGAAAATGGGGAACTGGTTACATCTGATGATCCTCCTGTTGTACTTGGTTGCTTGAATGCGGGTTTTACACAAGAGGTTTGTGTAATTATTGTTTAAAAATATTTCAGTTAATAAAGTTTTGTTTTATTCATTTGGATTTTGTGTTTTTTAGATAGGACTGGATATAGGGAACCTTATAAGGTTTGCAGTTAGTGAGGGTGGATTGACATTTATGAATGGGAAGGTGGAAAAGGCTGATTTGCAGTATATAGGAAAGGTACATCGTCTATATAGACGACATGTCATCTTTATAGATGACATGTCATCTCTATAGGTGCATCTATAGAGACGACATGTCATCTCTACTAGAGCATCTACCACAACGAACAATTGTTACTAAAGGGTATGATGTGTCGACTCTACATCATTATCTATGGAGACAACATGTTGTCTTTATAGATACACCTATAGAGACGACATGTCATCTCTATAGTTTCGTCTATGGAGACCAGCACCGTATAGCGACGAACCAGAACAAGATGACATGTTGTCTCTAAAGGATACCTATTGCGACGATATTTATAGCGACGACCAAAAGGATCTATTGCGACGGGGCTATGGAGACGAAAGCTATAGGGATAACATGTCGCCCCTGACACCTATAGGGACGACCTTTTTAACCTATAGGGACGACATTTTTCGTCCCTATAGGTCCCGTTTCCTGTAGTGATTGCAAGTTAAAGATGATGACTAGGATTAAATAACTATTTAATAAAGTATGAGTGATGACATGAAGTGGAGTTAATATTTGAATGATTCTTCAATGTTCAACATACACACAATAAAGTGATTATTATGATTGAATAGATGTTTAATATGTTATAGATCGTCAAAATAAAGTTTTATAGATATTTAATGAAAGATATGACAATCCACACAAGTCAAAATTTCAATGGACTCTAGACGCAAAAGAATGATATTACATCAAACTCACATCAATAGCAAGAACTCTAATTTTCTCATCTTCAATATTAAATACCGCAAGAGAATGAAATTACATCAACAACAAACCACCGATCTTTTTTTGAGCAAACAAATGGTACATAGGATAATATAATCATAAACTCACATGCATCTTAAGCAAATAATTAATTACTTGGAGATCCTTGTAGGAGATGAATTACTTTCCCCAAGTTAACAATGGATGAACCAAAAGGAGAGGTACATGCTTTTTCGGCCTTGTTCTTCAAGTCGATTGCATTTGTCCTCATCTCTTTCCCTTTGTCTCCATTCATCAACTCAATGACTAGCTTGGAAACTTCTTCTCTCTTTACATCAGTGTCAAGCTCCATGCCAATCTCCCACTTGTGGCAACACGACCAGCAATTGGTTAGTTGGTCAGCAAAAAACGGCCAACAAATCATTGGGACTCCACTGGAAATACTTTCAATTGTGGAATTCCATCCACTATGCGTTAAAAACCCTCCAATTGATGGGTGATTTAGAACTTGTTCTTGTGGGCACCAACTAGCCAACATCCCTCTGCTGCTTGTCTCTTCCAAAAACTCTGGTGGAAGCACGACAGATTTGCCATCCACAAGATCTGGACGTATTATCCATAAGAACGGACAATTGCTCTTTGCAAGTCCCCAACAAAACTCAAGTAGATATTGATGTGACATCACTGTAGTGCTACCAAAATTCACATAAATAACCGATGATTTTGGTTTCGATTCTAGCCATTTCAAACAGGTGTTCTCTTCTTTCCAAAGATTTGATTTGATGAACTCTACAGATTCATCACTTTCCTTCTCTAGTAACTTAAACGGACCAACACCATAGCATGGAGGAAAGACTGAAGAAAGCGCATCCAAAAGGTCGCTTTCTAGTTCATAAAAGGTGTTGAAGATGATGGCAGAAGCTCTTTTTGCTCTCTCTGCTTGTAAACACAAACCTTCAAGCATGTATTCATCACCAGGGCTGGTCTTTCTAATGAATGAAGGCAAGTGTTGTAGACGCATACCAGACATGGTTGGAACACAATCAATCATGGTAAAAAACTCGATGTTATGGAAAGAAAACATAAAGAACTTACTTTCAAATAAGCAACTACAGTGTATACGTACATGAATATATGTATGTATACACGTATACATATAAGTATTTCATATCCTTAACAAATTAGTGAAATTAAGTATATATATTACCTTCACGTGGCACCAAACCTCTCTCCAATAGATTGTTCTGCTCATGAACACACATTAGAGCACTAACACCGCTGGTCCATAGGACTATCTCGGGGATATCAAGTTCTTTGGCTGCATCGAGGGTGAAGCCCATGAATAAGTCTGCAACTATGCAAGTCACCGGTGAAGATGAAGCATTCAATTTCGTAAGCAGACTTTTAAATGGAGCCAGACAAGTTTCATCCATGGATTTCCATAAGGTTGGGAAAACTTGGGTTTCATCCGGGTTCTGTGGCGGCGGAAGGCCATCAGGAATGGTCTCGAAGCAGAAGGAAGGGAGGCCATGTAGGGCTTCGGAGCCCTGAGATTTGATAAGTCGTTGATGGTTGAACTCGGTGTTAACGAAGGTTATATGAAAGCCTTTGGAGTGGAGGATCTTAGCAACTTTTAGCATGGGGTTAATATGGCCTTGTGCTGGGGCTGGTAAGCACAAGGCATGTGGTTTCTTTTGTATGGAACCCATGAAATTGTCAGTCATGTTTTTTCATTTTCAATCTTTGATCCTTTGCAAACTTTAGACATGATATTTTTCTTTTCTGTTGCTAATCCATTGCAAACTTTAGATATCATATTTTTCTTTTCTGTTGCTAATCCCTAGCAAAATTGATATATTAATTTTTTTTTTCTCCATTGCTAATCTGTCGCAAACATATAATATCATTTTTTTTTATTATGAATCTAAAACAAAAAATACTATAATAATCAAATTATTACACAAAAAAAATAAATAAATAAAAAACATCAAATAGCAATACAACCAAAACCAAACATTAACATTACAATATAAAACTATCAAAACATCCAAAAGCATATATATATATATATATATATATATATATATATATATATATATATATATATATATATATATATATATATATATATATATATATATATATATATATATATATCAAAGTTTACCAAAAACATCAAATATCATAGTTAACAAGACATTCAAAAACATCAAATACCAAAGTTTAACATCATATTACATCTTCTCCATTTTTTTGGCATCCATTTCCTCTTTAGGATATTCCTTCCAAAAAGCTTGTTGGATCATACAGAGATGTGGATCCATGTTTCACTATCCAAGAGGGGGTGGCAACTTGTATTATCACCATAGCACCTTTCATAAGCCTCATATTATAGCTAGAAAAAAACATGAAAAACATAAAATATTATTCAATTTTCAATCATATATGCAAAGGAATGGAATGGTACATTACATTCCATTACAATTATAACTCAGGAATTGAATGAATCATTTCATATGCCACCTATTAAAACTATGTAATTCACTAATTGCAGGTGATAGTTTTGAGAATATTTGGACTTTATGGTTCATATTTACAACATAAATCTGGTTGATATTATCTGGTAAACTTGTACAGTACCCTCAAATGTATTACAGTTTTGTTATTTACATATTTTTTGTAAAGATTTTATATATAAAAAGGATGATATTTAAGTTAACTTTTGTCAAAACATTTACTATAATGATTATTAATATATTGTTATATGTAAGAAGAGAAATAGATAAAAATATATAATCATACCCTTTTTTGTCATTTTAAATAGATAAGTAGTTAATCCAAATATTTTTTTAATCAAAACCAAAACTTTTTGAGTTCACTAAACTAAATAAGAAGACACACTTGTAATTTACTCTTATTCGATAATATATTAACATAAACACAACCATGGTCTGACTAAAAATTACAACCCTACCCTCTCAGTCCCTATTGTCTGATTAAAAGGTACAGTCTTGACCTCTCAGTCCTTATGGTCTAATTAAAAATTATAGTCTCCCTAAATTTCGTAATAAAACAAGCATCCCCAACATAATCAATAGCAATCTCCTCCTATCATTTCCTTCAACTTTTTTTACTACTCTAAATCATATCTTACTATCATTTATTGTTGTTTCTATAAAGTAATGTACAAAAGCTTTTTTTTTTTTTTTAATTCTGTTAATTTTTTGATTTAACTAAGCTGATTTTTTTATTTAAATAAGGTCTCATCAACTTTCTCAAAGTCATGTGTTATCTCAAAATTTTCTTGTGAAAAAGATCTCACAGTGCGTAGAACACCAAAAGATTTCTACAAATTAAAAAAAAAAAAAAAAAGTAAAATTGTAATTTTTTTTTCTTTTTGGGATCTTGTTATAATCATACAAACTTTGGTTAGAAAAGAATGTTGGATGCGATAGCAATTACTTTAGTATTATAAAAATAAATATATGAGTTTTAGTGGTTAATACACACCTGAGTAAGTAATTGAGGATGCAACGGATGCAGTAGCTTGAGCTTTGTGGGAAACTCCAAGAAGATAACGTCCAACTTAGCGGACATGTTAGCCAATACTAAAACAAGAAAAAGATGAATAAGTTTTTATGTTAAAAAAGAATTTTATTTTTATTTTTTAAAGTAATGTTGGTCTTACATCGCTTCCACGATGTGGTATGTGAACCCAATACCAATAAATGCAGTAGAAAGATTCCTTAAAATTTCAGAAACATTTAAGTTGCAGCAAGTTTATTTTTTTGAAGGTAATGTTGGTCTTATATGTTACATCCCTTGTTCTTGTAACATCAAAGAAAGCTATTTCCTGCAAAAGGGTAAGTGAATCTTCAGTCTTGACAAAAGGGGCATAAAATATATTTCCTTTTTTGAAGAAAAAAAAAGAGATTTTTACTTGATTAACAAGATGGGTGAAAAGATTCTTTCTCAAGGCAACAACGATTTTTTCACTTACAGAAGAAAATAACCATGCTTGACATGTTGTGCAGACTAAATTGAAAATAGGAAATGATCAAACGAGTCAAAATTAAGTTAACAATAAGAATGATTCCTAGAATGGTTCTATTGACTAAGCTAACTGCTTCACTATTTTGTTCTGATGTTTGAAGATCTCCTTAAACAGTATCGATTATGTCCCACCAAATCTTGGTTGAAATGTAACAAAAACAAAATTATTTTTCTTGAAAAACAAAACTATGTTGAGGGAGATGAACAGATGTAGACATAGAATTAGGATACTTGATGTCGATGCAATCAACAAAGCGATAGTACCACTGATCAAATCTTCCTACATTTGGTTTTGCCTGTTAAGTGATTAATAAACAACTTAATATCTTCACAAAAAATATAATTCAACATTTGAAAGTAACAAAATGATGAAGTAACATACACTTACTAGAGAGAGAAGTTTGAAAAAACTCACATTTGCAGCCTGTTTGGAATTCCATAGACAAAGTTAACTTGACTTTCACTTAGGCATTATGTCAAACAGTTGGGGAGTGTAAATTTGGAAGTAGAAAGAAACACTAAATTACCATCACTACATCAACAAGCTCAAGATCATTCTGCTTACCATTTGTTAATGGATGGTTTCTCATCAAACCCTAAAACTAATCACCAAAACAAAGAGCATAAACCCACATAAATTCGTAATAAGAAACTTCCCCAATAACTAAAACATATCCAAAATCATATTCATACAAATCTAGAAATGGACAAAAATAATCACACATTATACCTAAAAAATTTAAGATTTCAATGAAGTAACCATAATAGTACATAATGATTCAGAGGAGTTGTTGAATATTAGTTCAAAAGGGTACAAAAATCTAAGTTGAACAAACTAATTCAGAGCTCATGGAAACTTACATTCCTATTTAGTTTATTATCGAATATGTAACTAAAGAGCATACATCAGATCAATGAAAACATATTAATATTTATAGAAAGAGTGCTTCTTATCATCATTTATTGAGATAATGACTATATGACAAGAAGGAAAAGCAGTTGCATTTTATGAGATTGAAAAGCAAATTGTATGAATGAATGAATGATAAGTCTATGAGAAGAACCTGAAAACTTTTGTTGGATATGATATGATGAAATCCATGTCTTTGGAGATGTATGCACGACAAGCAATGAATGGGAGGATTGCTTGATTGAATCTCTATCCTCCTGCTTATCATATAAGGTATTATTATGTGTCTCTATCTAATGAAGATGTACCTTTAAAGCTTGATGGTGAGGAGAAAAAAAATCGGAAGAGAAATTTGAGAACAAGTGGAGGGAAGCTCAGAAACACCAAACAAAGCTACATTTGACTTAAGAACCTATTGGATTTGAGACAAACATAGTCAAAGCTACATTGGACTACATAAACTACTGAACTGGAGACAACATTCAAGAGATGAATGAAAATATCAAGTTAGAAGACGAGATTCAAGGAATTGAGATTTTAATTACATGATGCAATCAATTCAAGGTGATTTTTGCATGTAATGTTGAGGTATAACAAGGATGAAAATTGAAACAGAAAGATGGGGAAATTAAACCCTAACGTAATATATTGTGCAACTAAACTAAACCTAAATCTAATATAGGACTAAAAAAAGAAAATCAAGTGATTTACCTGAATCGACAGTTAATGAAAACTACTTTTAGATTTTATGGAGGTTGTCGGAATTGAAAGCAACAATGGTGAGTTCTTTTATATCTGTTAGAGCGGAGATGATGATATTAGGTTAACATGGCATAGGAACTTACTCCAGAGTGATAAAAGCGGATTTAGGAGGGAAGAAAACTTACAACAATTTCATGAAATTAGAATTGGTTTGCGCTAGTTTCAGCGAGAGATTGGCGATCGTAAAACAGAAACGCGCGTACCCCAAATATAATTTTTGTCGGCGATCTCTCGCAAAACGTGTACCATAGATGGAAAAAAATCGATAATTTCTCTATCTGTCGTTGAACCCTCATTGAAATGCCTTGATTTTCGATCGATTCGCAAGGGAGTGGGGTGCATCGATAAACACTTGCAAGATTCATAGTTGATCCTTCGATAAATCCTAGCAAATATGAAAAATGTTGAATAAATAAAGTAAGTATCTAAAATATTGCAGATCTGTTGTAAATCCCTAGCTATAAGCCTAAAACTTGGCTACATAATTTATCCATCGCTAAATCAGTCGTTGAAACTCAAGTTTCTAGCATTGTAACTTTAGCTAGGTTTGGCACACTAATTGTGTTCCTTATAAACTACTTATTTTCATATTTTTTTAACTTTTTAAAAAGCTAGGTGGAGTAACTTTTCAATTAGGTTATAGAGCTTTTTTTTTAAATTCTCTCTTATATTAACTATAATAAACATATTTTTTCATATACCTTTATATGTCAGTTTATATTTTCCACCTAGTTTATCAGTTAGTTTTTATAAAATATAATTTTTTTATCGAATATATATTAGCTACTTTTTCACTATTCCTTCAAACAGTACTTTTATGTCTTACTCCCAAGAATCACATTAAGTCCTTCATTGCAGCATACAAGAGTGAAAAATAATGATTATATCAAATTTAGAGCATACGTTATAAAATATGATCAAATAACAAGATAAATTTTAGAATAAAGAAAAAAATGAGAGTGGAAAATTAATACTTGTGATAAAATCGTCAACTTTCTA